CTTCAGCTCGGCGTCGATCTGCAACAGGATATCACACAGCGCGCCAGAAAAATCGCTGAGGACGTACTGGTACCAGTACTATTTTCAGCGTGGCGATGCTCTTCGATACGGCGCGTCTTCCACACGCGCGGCTTCGATGCGCTTTTCGCCGGCTGCGCGACGGAGTCGTTCGACGGCGCGCACGCGGTACCGGGCGCGCGTCGCCTCCCACGAGGTGCCAAACAAATTAAGAAATGGCGCTCGCGTCGGGGCCCGAGACCATGAACCAGTGCATCAGTCGGGCCGACTGCTGCATCGCGAGGGACAGGGCTCGACCCGTTGATGGTGGGACGGCGCGGGCGATGTAGTCGCGACGCCCTTGAAGGTCTGTGGGGAAGCCGTGCTCGAGCACGGAGGTAGCTGGCTTCGATGGCGTCCATTAGCGCGTGGTCTTGTTCGGCGGTGAAGGCGGCGGCGTCCTGGGTGTCGGCCATCTGGGTCCTGCAGCGCAAAATGGAATGTGACCACCTCTGGCCTTGGTGTACACGGTCTAGAGATTCAATACGCGAGTCCAATGCATTCGCCTAACCAGTACCATCGTAAAATGGAAGCCGCACGTCTGCCGATCATCCAACCGCATGACCGACAAGATGGGACGTGGGTCGACGACTACTTGTGCGAATCCATTCCCGCGCCCCAGTTGCAGGTATGTCGGTACAACGGACGCAGCTGCATATTGGTCGTCATCGCATGGCGTTGCTGCAGCACAGTCCTTAGCCAGTGCGGACGCATATGATTGGCCCATTTTTTGAAAGACCATGGCTGCGCGCCAATCAGAAGAGCCAAAAGATCGCGCTTGGTTGTTGGCCAACAAACGAACGGGGAAGCTACTGACCGCGAGCGCAACCAGAGACTCGACATAGCAAGAGCCCGGCGCAGGAAGCCTCCTTTTGTGCATCTCTGCGGCTCGAAACATTGATGGGGTGGTGGCACTGGTGAGATAGGCCGTCGTCGACACACAGCACGAACCAAGTCTCGACGCCATCGCCGTACGCGGCCACGAGGCGTTGATCGAGCACTGTCACTGTCAGAGGTGACGGTGTTGGCGACGAAAGCGGCCACAGTGGCACAGATCGCCGGTGCATAGGGAGGATCCTAGTTCATTGCTGTTCGGATGAGATGCTGCCACATAGAGAACGCGACATGCGCCCACCCGACCTGCGCCGGGCTCTCGCTGTTTCATCCACCAGCTGTGCTGATAGAAGGTACGGGGTTGGCAGGAAATCTACTTTCTTCCGTGCTCGTCGGCAAACGAGCGATGGCTCCTCGCATCGCTCCTCCGAGCCCGCTTGTTCGACGACGCTGTTGACGCGATCTGGTGACGTCGCCCTCCTGCGCCTTCGAGAAGCGGTTCCAGATACCCACGCAAGTGCATCGATAACCTTTCTAGAGCATTTATCCTATTTCCAAACCTACTACTGTACAACTTGGTGGTGGTTAGGGGATAGCAAGTGTGGGTGTAGGCATGGTGTAGGGTAACACTGGCACCTCTGCCGACCCGGTATCCGGAGGCATGGCCAGAGAGGACTAGACGCACCCAAACCCAATGTCGACGTTGGTGTCGAAGGCTGCTCCCGCCGAGATTTTGGCGCCGCGTCCTTGTGGACGGCTCGCACAGCCTTGGTTTGAACTAGTGTGGTCCAAGCAAACGAGCTAGACGCATTATGGTACCCACAAAAGTGCCGAAGATGTGGCGTAGGTGGCGTCGGTTTAGACCTCTGGGGCTGGCCTTTCTCACATTGGGTCGGCGTCGTCATACACAGCGATGGACGGAAACCGAGAGCAACAGGTCGCACTGCTTCCATGTTGCTCTGCAATGATCTCACGGCGCATTAGGCGGACGAGCTAGAAGCGCTTCAAGTAGCTACTACATACGCCCTCGGCGCGCTCACCTCGCCGCTTGTAGGCCATTTACGGCGATGACTTTGCATGGGCCGAGGCCACCGGCGAAGCGCAAAGGTCGTTCTTTATGACCGTGCCCGGGGACTTTTGCCTCCAGCTGCTCGTGCACTTGCCGGCCACATACCCGTCGCACGAGCCGCCGATCGCTGAGGTCTACGAGTCGTTTGGCGTCACGACGGCGCAGCGCGACGAGCTCCTCGCCGACTTGGTACAACGTCGGTCACGGGTTCGACGACTTGACCTGTTTGTCTACTAGCACGCCATCTACGAGCGCAGCGCCGGCCAAGTGTGTTTGTACGAGTGGATTGAAAGCGCACGAGAGAAATTTGGCGCCTTTACGACCTACGAGCCCGAGTCGCTCGCGACAGCCGAGGTCGACTGGGACGCCATTGCACGCGGTGTTCCAGACGCGCCTATCAACGCACCCCCCGCGCCATTTCTCTCGCTCATCAAGCGTGGCGACCCGATCACAGACCGCAAGAGTACCTTCCAGGTCATCTTCATTCGCTCGCCGACCTTGAAGTTGAACCGGCATCATCGTGTAGGCGCATGCCGTGGCCGTGCACTCGGTGGACGAGGTGCTTCATCCTTGGGCTTACCTTGGAAGCAACATGTCCTCACCAATGGTGATGCTACGTAGGTGAATGCTTTTGTCGAGTACTTGCTCCAGGATCGCAAGATTGCGCGGGCCACCCACAACATGCTGGTCAACCATCGTCATCTCCATCACAGCTCATCACGCGCATGAACTGCAGGCCTACCGCATCGTGCAAGGCGCCAACATCATCAAGGACTGCGACGAAGACGGCGAGCACGGTGCCGGCAGCAAGATGTCGCACTTGCTCGAGATGGTGCACGCCGAGAACGTGGTATGGCACTGACGCAATATCAAGTGCATACATCAATCCTAGGCGGTGCTCGTGACGCGCTGGTATGGCGGTATCCAGCTCGGGCCCGACCGCTTCAAGCACATTGCCAACGCGGCCCGCAACGTCCTCGAGACACACGGGTTCATCGCATCGACCAAGAAGAAGTAAGGATCACAAGGAATGACCGCAGCCCTTGTGGTTGTCAAATTAGGATTTCTACTACTGTACTACATGCGTCGCTTAGCCGTACAGCTGCTGCTCGTCTTCCGAGAGCTTGAGCAACGCGAGGCCGCGCACGCAGGCAAACGGCGTGAATTCGGCCTTTTCTTTTGCTTTTTTGGCCTTTTTCTTGGCTTTTTTCTGCTGCGATTTTTGCCGCTTGCGCGCGGCCGCGGCTTCCGCTTCCGAGTCGTTCTCGTCGTCGTCCGCGTCACCCTTGTACGCATCGCTCTCATTGCCAGCATCGATCGGCGCCTCCGTGTCCTCCACGTCCTCGTCGTCCGCAACCGCTCGTGTCGGCGGTGCGACGACCACCGGTGCGATCTCGTCTTCTCGAACAACGTCTTGGACGCGAGGTATCGGTGGTTCGACTTCGACCACGTCGCCGTCGTCGTCGACGGTCGTGCGCGGGGGAAGGCGCCCGAAATCCAGGAGCCACAGATGCCGGACGTGTTCGTGCGACTGTACGAGCGAGGTGAAGTGCGCATCGAGCGCCACGGCCGGTGGTTGCGGTAGTCGGGAAAACACCATTGAGAGGATCATGTCGAGGACGCCCGTGTTGCCCGAGTCCAAGCCCGCCTTTGTGTACGTAGCGACGTCTGAAAACTTGGCTGGCGGCGCCGGTGGTGCCAGAAAGGTTGCCAACAGAGGTGCGAGCTGCGTCTCGACGCTCTCGAGTTGCATTTGGTCGAGACGACGGCTCATCGCGTTCTTCTTTCCTGGCATCGCGAGCTTCTGGAGCAGCGAGTCTCGCAGGCTCGAGAGCTATGACTGCATGAGCTCCGAGTCAACTTGGCACTTATCATAGGTACATTGTGAATGTCGAGGCGAAGCTGTGCGTCGGCGGCGTCTTTGACGTCTTGCTCGAATGCCGCCAAGTACTCGAGTTCTTCAAGCACCTGCGCCTTCCACTTGATGTCACGGGACGTCTTGGCCATGTACTCCTTGACGTGGTTCACGCTCGTCCACTGCGTTGGCCGCTCAATGACTGCGAGGAGCTCGCTCAGCGGCACCTCACCATCGACGAGCGCCGGGTAGTCGACAGTCGCCCACACGTCCTTGGACTGCCCGTGGAGGTAGGTCAGGTACGGCTTGCAGGCGCCGTACGTTGTATGGATTGCAATCTCTTGTTCGAAGAGAGTTTCAATGACGTACGAAAACTTGGACGAGTCAAAGACGTCTTGGATGGACGCCGAGACGCGGGCCGCGTCGTCGTTGGTGGCGAGCGGCGTGCCCATGTGCTCGAGGCTCAAGCGCGAGAGGTTCACGAGCAGGAGCGGAAACGCATCTGGAAAGGCCTCGAGGTTGTCCTGCCATGCGCCCATACTCGTGTCTTCGATGGGCGCCACCTGCAGCAGCACGTCGGCCTTGGTCTCCCACGACTCGTCCTCGTCGCTCTCCCATGCGTCCCGAGCTGGCGCCGGCGCCGACTGCGCGAGCGACGCGGCAAAGGCGGCGGGTAGCTTGAAGGACAGGCTTAGGCTAGCGTTCGTGGTGACGGCCACGGGGCCCGCGCGCGGCTTGCGGGTCAGCGTCTCCATGCGTCGGGCGGTTTGGTTGGCGCTTGAGCTGGATGTCCGGATACGGCGCCGGACGCTGATTGGTGCCGATCCGGCAATCATCTGATCACCATTCTGCAAGACGCGCGCCACACCCTGTGCCACGCCAAGGGATGGACGCGGACGGCGCTTCAAGCCGCCAGAGTGCACTATACGTCAAAGGACTGTAGTGTATACGCACAAAAGTCTAGCTTTGGTCCGCGAGCAGAGTCTACGACACTCTGGCGAATCTCGCTGCCTCTGGATACCGTGTTGCCTTGGCAAAGGTTTTTTGTCGTCCTGCGTCGATCTTCACGACCTTGACGCGCCGGGATATTTTGATTATTGAGTTAGAGATACCCCATCGAGTACTTGGGTGCTGGGCAAGAGTACACGGGAGGTTAGAGCTCGCCATAGCTACGCAGCTCGGTCCTAGTTGACGCGCTTGATCCCGAAAGGATGATCCTCAACGACCAAGCAACGTGATTGGCTAAAATGCTGCACATGGCCCTTCGCTTTGTCCAATCCAGTTGGGCTTGCGTCAACATCATGAGTGAGCTGCCGCGGACAGGCCGTGCGGTCCACGCCGACCTCCTCGCCCTCTTTCCGTCGCCTCCAAACGACCAATGGGATCTCGAGATCGTGGCGCACGCTGAGCGCTCTCTTGCATCGTCGCTGCCTGCAGATGACGGCAGCCTGCTGCACCTTCTCACCGAGCAGCACGGCGACGGCCTCGTGCTCGCGGTCGCCCTCGCGATAGTCGCCGTCGAGCAGCGTCTCGCGCAGGCCGCCGACACCAGCGCGCTGCTGCAGGCGCTGCAAGAGTGCCAACGGAAAGTCGTCCATCGACCCGTCCGAGACGAGATCGCACACCGGATCGGTATCGTGCTCTTGACAAGTCGCCATTTGCCGGCACTTGGCGCGTTGCGCACGCCCGAAAGCACTGTGCTCGAGACCGAAGGCATGTTTCATCTCCTTGCGACAAGCTTGGCGTCTGGTGTCGCGCTGCCCTGCCGCCTTCCTGTCGCCGCCCTCTGCCACGATATCGTGAACGCAAGCGCGACGCTCCCAGCACCGCTCGTGCCGCGGCTTCTCGAGAGCGTCCACCACGGTGTCGCAGCTGCGGTCCACAGTCTTTACGCCATCTACCCCGTGTTTCTCAAGCATACATGGCCATCGACGTCGTCGTTCGTCCCTTCCTTCCATGACATGCTCACGTCGGACGTACCTCCCGAGGCGTTGGCACCCCTCGCCGCTGCGCTGCCCCCGCTCCGCGTCTTGACGGTCGGCGTGGCCATCGCATGTCTCAACCTTGTTAGCAATGTGTCCCTTGCTGCACTTGCGCTGGCGTCCATATCTCACGTCGCCTGTGTGCCGAGCCCCGATACCGAGGCGCCGTTGCTGCGCAAGCTTCAGATGCGCCTTGTCACGACAATCCCGCCGTCGAAGGTACGGCCAATCGATACGACGCAACATACCATAACTCTTGTGGGTAGATGGAGCAGCTCGTGGCGCCGTTGCTCGTCGCCCTCGACGCGACAGACGCGCTTGTGCCGCTGGATGCCGACTGCATCCGGGGCCCGCAGCTTGCTTGCTACTTGCAGCTATTGCCCTTTCTGCCTGCCGACACGACGTTTTGCTTGGCGCTCCGTGGCTTGAGTCACAACCTTGTGGAGGTCTCTCTTGCATGCCACCGGGCGATTCGGTCGCTCCTGCTCCAACGGCGACCGCGGGGCGCGGACGTAGGCCCTCTCGTTGCCAATACTCGATGCGATACCATGGTGTGTGTATAGATGGCCGCGGTCTACGTCGGCCGTCTCTTCGCCGGCTACCCAATCACGGCCCCGATCGACGTGCTCACCACGAGCCTTGGCTACGTTCTCGCTGTCGACGACGACGCCGTCCTCGCATACCTCGCGCTCGAGATGCAAAAGACCATCCGACGTACGTTTGGGACGCAGCCCGACGCGGCGGCAACGCTCGCTCGCCTTTTCTTCGAGCTGCTCAAGGTTGTCTCGCTCAAGTCGATGGCCTTTTGCCTGCGCATCGCCGAGCAAATCGTGTTTGCCCACCCGTCGCTGGCAACGTCGCTCTACGAAGCCATTTCGACGTCCTGTGAAGCGTCTCGCCGCACGCTCTTGATTGAGTGGTACCTCGGCTTTTACCCGCAGCTTGAGTCTGTGCCCTCCATGTTATAATCGCTTCCATGTACTAAAGTGCAAGGGTGCAACGAACGCACTTCAACACAAAGTGCAATCTCGCATTTGGCGTGCTCCAATAGGAAGCGAGCTTGCCATCCAAGCGCCTGTATACTCTCTACCTTGGAGTCGTCATGAGCCTCTCGATCGCTCCCAGGAGACGCATGCTACGAGTAGGCTGCAGCCGAGTCGACTGCGAGCTGTCCAAGGTATCTTGGGACAGATGGGCGCGATGGGATTGGCTACCCTCACATCTTGTTTTTTGTATGCTCGCCATCCGATTTTATTGCATTCGGTTGGTCGGAAAAAACAAATATGGTGGGTGCCACCGCTCGTTCGACCGAGTACGCGTTCGCATGGGGCGACGCCGGCCTCGTCGTGCGCGACGCCTTCCGCGGACGCCTCATCTTCCGGCCGGGCAAAGGCGCGAAGAAGTCGACCGTGTCCTTCTGGGAAGCCAAGAAGATGCTCGAGACGCTGGCTGTGGTCTTTGACCACGCAGCCGTGCTGCCGTCGCCCAAGCTCCAGGGCACGACGGTCGTCGCGCTCACGTTCTTTGAGCGCGCTCGGTTTGAGCACGCGCTGCGCACGGTCAACGAGATGCCCAACCACACGGTGTACGCGAACGGCGACGCGATCGAGATCCAAGTGGCCGAGATGGACGCAGCCGCGACCGCCAGCCCGCTGCCCGCAAATACCATGCACTTTGAGAAGAAGATGAAAGGCTGTCGCCCCGATACCGTCCATCTGAGAGGCCTCCCGGCCAAGTGGTTTGACGTCAACACGGCCGACTTTGCCGATCTCGACGCCAAGCTCACGCACTACAACCACGCTGCGCACAAGCTCTCGCAGCTCTTTGCGCTCTTTGGCGCGCTCGCGTACCGTGTGAAGTAGTCCCGAAGCGTACGCCTGACGCGCGTATATGCATAGGCACGTCGAAGTGGTGCCACCCGAAGACGTCGCGGACGACGGCATCTTGGCGACCGTGCATTTTGACGTGTACGTGCAGTTCAAGGCCTACGAGAGCGTCGTTGCGATTCTTCAGTGCATGCAGGGCCAGCGCGTCTTGTGCCACGTACGCTTTGTGGGATAATTTGTCGTCGCCTCTGATCTAGCAGCGTAGACGGCGCACCCAAAGTTGATTGTACCGCTCTCCATCCAGCTCGACACGACCGAGTACCTCAGCGACGCCAACATTCGCCAGCGACGGTATGTATTTCGGAAACGCTACGTGAAATGCCGCACGAAGGATCATAGGTTTGCGCGGGAGCAGCGACGGATCCAGCAGACCCACGAGCTGGCCGAGGCCGAGCAGCGTGCCAAGGCGGTCGCGGCCGAAATCGCAGCAGCGACCGCTGCGATCGAGCCTCTAGCCGGTCGTCTCAAGGTCGCTGAAGCCCACGCCGAGGCCGCGGTCGATGGCGTCGACGCCAAGATGATTGAGCTGCTCAAGCACGCACTGGGGGCGCTGGACGCTGCTCAGAAGGCACCGTCGACCCGCGGCGTCGAGGTTCTCGAACTCGCACTCGGTGGGTTTGAGAGCCATCTCAAAGCACTCGACGATGCGCGGAAGGCCAAGGAGTTTGCGCTGGCGCGCAAAAAATGGCAGCAGCGCGTCGCCCAGCAATGCGAGACGAGCACGGACCACGTTGCCGGGATCGAAGCCAAGTTTGCCGATCGCGTTGCGGGCTCGGCCTTTCTGGAGCATCCCGCGCTCGTCGCCGACATTCGTGCGGCCAAAGCAGCGATCGCCGCAGCCCGCAGTATCACGTCGCACCCGATCTCGATCGACGACGAAGCGAATGAAGACGACGTGCGTGCGTACTTGGACAAGCTGCGGGACGACGTGGACGAAGCCGACTGCATGGTCAACGCAGCACTTGCCCGCCTCGTGATGCTCGCCGAGTACCACGAAGTGCAAAAGCAAGTGACGGACGCCGACGGCCCCGCCGACGCGCTCTTGCAGGCGCTCGATTCCGCGTGGGGCGACAGCACGTCGACGCTTCTTGAGAAGATCCAGCACATTCGGTCTGTCCTCAAGCGCGCGGCGCGTGTGCGGGCGCTCTCGGCCGCGTTGCATGCGGCCGACCTCGACAGCGAGGAGCTCTGTGCTTCTGATGCTGCTCTTGCGCCACTCGCCGCAGCGGCCAAGGCGCTTCTAGAGACTCTCGACGCCGAGAGTGCCGACGACGCAGCACTGACGGCGTGCGATGACGCGATCACGTCATATGCGACGGCAGCCAACGCCATCCGCGTTGGTACGGCGCTTGTAGTATGATGAAATGCTCACACGGATGACTCGTGGTGTAGCACGGGCCGAGGCTGCGGCGGCCGAGAAGGCTCGGAGCGAGTCGTTCGCGGGCATGCAAGCAGCCAAGACGGCGGCCATCGCGAGCGCGCGCCAAAGGTACGCGCTTCGAGACTCTGGTTTGGCTCTTTTGAGAACATCGTGTGCAGGCTCCACGCGTGGCAGGAAGAGGTGGCGGCCGCCCACAGTCTCGAGCGGACCACGAGCGTCGTCAAGCGCGCCCACGTCCAGAACCGGTGGCCCACGGTCACGTCCATGGATCCGCCCGAGGCAAAGCGTCCGAAAATCGTCCGGTCGTCCTTGATTGTGCGACAGACGCCGCCGCGCTTGCTCGTGAGCAGCCGTGTCGTGGCCATTCAAGAAGACGGCCGCGCGCTGTCGCCACGAACGCTCGCGGCCGAGAAGGTCGCCCGGGAAGAAACAGCGCTTCGGACCCAAGTGATCGAGAGCCAGAAGCGCAAGGAAGCGATTGCGTGCCTCCAGCGACTCAAGGAGAAGGAGCTGCGACAGCAAGCGCTCAAGAGCATCGCCGAGCGAAGTTCGACCAAGAGTATTACCGACACTGACGACAACGCATAAGTGTACTTGCTACTCGTACACAAATGTCAGCAATACAATCAAGGTTTCCTTGCCCCATGAGTTGATCTTGCTACAGTCGATGGGTAATAGCTAGTAGAATCTCTACTTGGATATCTGAGAATATAACCCAGGGAAAGTTCACTGAGAATCCCTAGCCGCATCAAAACACAATACTAACGTTAGTACAATGCCAAGTTTGTTGCACTAGCCAATCAAAAGGCGCCAAAAATGGCGAAGTCCAGCGACGTTTCAGAGTCGACAATCCAATAGATACTTAACGGTGAGTGTTTTGGCTATATTGGAATGATTTTGAATGTCGGTGCGCACTCGGTCGTATAAAGCCGGCAAAGTGCAATTTGCCAACATGGCGATCTCTTGCGTGTCGACGCTGCCCGAGGTCCTCTCGTCGGCCAACGTTGTTGTATGCTACAACGACGCGCTCGCGCTTCTTGTGACGGCGACGACGTACGCGGAGTTGCCACCGGTCCTCTCGAACCTCCTCCTGAGCCTCGGCGTGGGCGTTGTGTGCTTTCTGCTGCAAGTGGCAACGGGCAACTACTCGCACGTCGACCGTCTCTGGTCGCTCGTGCCGGTGGCGTATGCGTGGAACTACCTCCTCGTCGGCTACAGCCGCGGCCTTGGCTTCGACACCCGTATGAGTGTTGTCGTCGGTATCATTACGCTCTGGGGGCTGCGCCTCACATACAACTTTTACCGGCGTGGCGGCTACTCGTGGACAGGCGAGGTACGCGATGCCATCAGGTTTAGCCTCACGATGCATGTAGGACTATCGCTGGGAGTTTGTCCGCAGCGTCGTGCCCAACCCCGTGCTCTGGCACCTCTTTTCATTTTCGTTCATTGCGATTTACCAGAACATTCTGCTCTGCATTCTTACGTGCCCGCTTCACATGGTCTTCAACGCGTGGGTCGCCGGCAACGTGAGCTGGTCGATGTGGGACTCGGTCCTCGCTCTTGCGCTGCTTGGCCTTCTTGGGCTTGAAACGACGGCCGACCAGCAGCAATGGACCTTCCAAGAAGCCAAGTATGCACTACATACGACGAACTCAGCTCACGCGATGATGTAGGTGGGCGCAAATGAAGGCGGGCAAGACGTTGGCACAGCTGCCGCCGCCGTACAACGTCGGCTTTTGCACGACGGGCCTCTTTGCGTACTCGCGCCACCCCAACTTTTTCGCTGAAATCAGGTATGTTGTATTTAGCGGTGGTTCTTGGTACGAGCTGTGTTGCTTGACTAGTATTTGGTGGGTTGTCTACTCGTTCTCGGTTGTGGCCTGCGGGTCGCACAACTGGACGCTCGTTGGTGCGCTGCTGTTGCACCTGCTCTTCCAAGGGAGCACGCGCCTCACCGAGTACCTCACAATCCAAAAGTACCCAAAGTACGCCACGTACCAAAACCTCGTCTCGATGCTCCTGCCGATGGCCACGCCCGTGGCCAATCTCCATGAAAAGATCGACTAAGAATCAACTTGATGCAGCATCAAAGATGTCAGCTGTTGTCATGTTTCTCACGAGCTCATGGCTTCTCCATGTCGTCTGCCTGGTCAGTGTGTGATTTAACGTAGCTGGCGCTCGACTCGAAGCGTTTGCGCAGCGCCTTGACACGGAGATGTACGTGCATGTAGAGAGACGATGTCCGAGTGCCTCAGCAGCCGCGATGGCACAGTATTTTGTCAACAAGATGGGCAGAGGACACGCGTCCAGAGAGTCGACGTTGGAGCAATTACCATGTCTTATTTCGGTATCTGTCTGGTATCTGGCGCTGGCATGTGAACGTTGCCGATGTGCAGCCGGTTGCATCCGGATACCAGAATCCCAGCCGGATCTTCCAGCAGGAAGATCGCAAATCGTACAAGAATGGACGTGGTCGAAGCGCAGCGCCTCCTACGCGCCCGGTACCAGCAGCCGGTGAGGACGTTCTTGGAGAGCGACGTAGCGTATGCCGAGATGTATGGGCCATGGACGACCGACGCGTACGTCTTGGGCGCCCCATCCTGCCAGATTGTGCACACGAACCCAGCTCTCACGTCGGAAAAGGCGTCCGAGATTGCGGCGCACCGCGAGCAAGCTCTGGACACCGCGCCAAGTGGCCGTGCGCTGTGTCCGTGGCCTGGTCCGCCGTTGTCTATCGACATGCTGCAGGTGCATGCAGCGACATACCTCGAGCTCTTGGAGCACACGCCGCCGACGACGACCGAGATGCACCTCTCGCAGCTCCTGTGGCACCTTCTCGCAAGCAATCTCACGGCACTCGCGGCTGCTTCCAGCGTGCCCGATCTGCGGTCGTTCTTTCTCGAGCTCGTCGTGCGGCAACCGGCGCCGCGTCCGCAGCGTCTGGCGTTTGCGCTGCTGGGTTGCGTGAGTACCGCCGACTCGATCGACGCCACTCTCTCGATGGAGCTCTTCCATTTGGCGCTTGAGATGGCCGAGCGCACGGTCGCGCTCGCAGCGAGCGACGATGACGAGCTGGTGGCGTGCATGAGTCGCACACTGCTGTCGCTGACGCACCCCTCTGACGCGTGGGTCCTCGATCGCCTCGTTCCGCTGTCGTCGTCCGGCGTGATCTTGTCGCTTCTCGATGGCGTCCACGACATTCCAACGCTCGTGCTGCTTGTCGAGGGTCTCGTCTTTGGCCTCTACCTGACGCGACTTCTTGGGCTCGAGACGCATCCTCGCTGCGCTGAGCGCCGAAGCAGCGAGACGATCTCACTTCGCCGGGCAAGCAGCCATCGACTGGCGTCCGTGTCGGCGCTTGTTCTACCGACAGACCCGGCGTCCGGGCGCCATACCTTTGATCTCGGACTCGACGTCTTTTCGGCGTCGCCAAAGCTCTTGGAGACGTTACTGCATCTGTACTACACGACGCCGTCAATCGCTGTCCAGCGCCTAGTGTTTATGGTGCTATTTGACGCCACCAAGGCCAACCTGCCCGTGCCAGTGCACGAAGCCGAGTGGCTCTACGAGGCGTGTCTCGCCGCTGGCGTTCCCAGTCGACTTGCCATGTACCCGTCGAGCCGTCCGTCGTCGCCGCTGGGCGGCAACAACATCATCAGCGACCTCCATACGGCGTTTCTCGACGAGCTCTTCCATCTGGTAGCTCCATGGATCCATGTATCAACTTGATATTGTGATACATGTAGATGCGTGTGGACGAGTATTTCAAGCAGAGTGCGGCTCTCGCAAGTGCACTCAAGACAGCGCGTGTTCAGACGCTGGACGCTTTGCACGCGACGCCGGATGCGGTCGTTCTTGCCAAGGTTTTTGCGCTAATCGAGTCGCGCGACGACGCGTACAAAGGCGAGGTACCCCATGACCTCTGCCACCGAGATCTGCGGCACCAACGAGGCGGTAGCGCTGGCTATCTGAGCTTCTCTGCGATGCAAACCGACTCGGGTCACCTGTGTTTGGCCAGGCCAACGACGGCGACGAGGTGTGCGACCGCAGCAGGCTCCGCGCCGCCGCCCGCACCAAGTTTTGGGAAGCGCTTCGATCGCCGGTCGAGCGTCGCCGCGTCGCGATGGTGCATGTTCTAGCTATCGTCGTCCAACGCCGCTTTGGAAGCGCACAAGTACGTCGTTTTGCGCGTCGAATCTCGGCTCTGAAAGACAGGTATAGAGCGAACATTTGCTGCTTGATGTCAACAGCGTCGTTTCTACGCTGCTCGACAACAAGGAAGCCTCGCCCCTTGTGCTCTTGCCGGTCCTTCGCGTCATTTTTGAGCTGTGCACCCGCCGTCTGAGCTACGCATACGCGCGATCGCGGCCGGTCCATGCGCTGGCGCCACCTCGCACGCTCCTCGCAGCGCTGCGCCATGGCGTCTTTGCCTTGGACATGAGTCTCCTTCGCGATATTTCGAGCGATATTTTTCTTATCGGTCTCGACGCCCTCTCAAACGAGGTGGCGGACAAGAGTGATGACGTCGGTGTCGTCATTGCGCTCGTCGTCAAGCATCTCTTCCACGATGTGCACCTCTTTTCGCGCGCGGGGGGTCTCTTGCGGTTCCTCCATTTCCTCGACCACTCGAATCCAACGATTGCACTGTACGTTTCCATGTTGCGATGTATCAAGGTTTCGAGATACTATCAACTTGATACAGACTCGTATCAGAACTCGTGGTGGCCATGATCAAGACGAGTCAGAAGGAGCAGTACATACACTGTCTCAAGGAACTGCAGGTACTTGCGCAAGAGACCGACGACGAGCGTTGCCTTGCCAACCCGTATGTGCACTGTCGAAGCCTGCTCCGCCGCTTTTACGATATGCATGTCCTCCCGCTCGACGGCGCAATGTAATCAAGTCGTACTTCAAGCCTCGACGTCGGCGTTATCCTCGCCCATGAAGAACTGACGTCGATAGCCGCAGTCGCCGCGGTTGCCGGGTCCGCCGTTGCCGTCGCTGCTGGCATAGTCGCGCGCACAGACGCAGACGCCTTGGGTTGTGTCGCAGTGGCCATGGTTCGCACACTCGGCGTCTTCTTTGCTGCCAGGCACGAGCGTCGTGACAGACGACGGCGACGTAAGTATGAGCGACGCATCCAGCAGTTGCACAGTTGGGAGCGCGCCAAAGTCTTGCGTGAACGTCAGAGTCATGCTATTGCCGCCAACACAGGCCCCTGTATCGCTTGTGAGTGCGATTCTGAGGTAGGCGTACGCTTGCCTGTGTGCGAATACTGCAGCGAGAGACCGTGCAGCGTCGAAAGACCGAGAAGCGCGGCTTGAACGTCGAGCATAGGGGCGTTGAACGGCAGTGGGTCCGTGTACGCGCCTCGGAAGCCTAGTTGGAAGACTCCCGACGACGCTGCGCACGTGACCTGTTGAACTGCATTGTTTTGACCGGTCGTATCCGGGTCGTCGCCGGTGGGACATACCCCTAACCCTCATTGAAATGTTGTTGGTCGAGTCGAGCGAGTAGAGGGTACGTTGGTTGCAGTCATGGCCCGTAAATCCGTCATCGCACTTGCATCCTTGGATCATGGTGGCGTCCCACGTCGCGGGGTTGTTGGGGTTGGCACCGTACGTGAAGCCAGCAGGTAGACCTTGCATGGTTGTCGCCGCCGCCAACTCGGCCAGTGTGAGGCAAGAGCCGTGGCCCGAGCACGGAGTGGCACTGTCAGGACCATACGGGCAGTCGACTACGCGGTCAGGTCAACAATGGTCAAGTATTGTGAGGTGACGCGCACGGAGCTCGCACGCGGCCCCGGTGAAGGGAGGAAAGCAGGTGCACGTGCCCGTCGTTGGGTCGCAGAGTCCCGTGTTGGAGCACGTCTCGGGCGTTTTGTGCGCGACATTGGTCGACGTTGGCAGCGCAAACCACGAAGCGCCCGTCGGACAAGCGCCTACCCAACGTTACGTCACATCCAAAGGTTGGTGTAGTGTACGCTGCGAGCAATCGCCCGATGTCCAGCCCGGCGAGCACTTGCACGCAAAGGCAGGGGAGCCCGAGCACATGCCGTGACCGCTGCATGGAAGGTATCCTGGGCACCCAGAGATAGGGCCGCCGTAGAAATTGGTATTGTCGGGGGCGCCGCAGTCACCGCGCAGGCCAACGTTGCCGTAGCCATCGCTCGATCGATACCCGGGCATCGGGTAGAGATAGCACGAGCACGTCCCCTGGCCTACTCATATACACGGTACAGCTCGTATGATGACGACGGTGTGTTCACTCGTGTCGCAGACACCGCGATTGCTGCACGCTTGGTATTCTTTCGAGCCGCGGACACTGACAAACCCACCAATGGCCGCGCCGCCGTGCGCCACGATGACGTTGCCACCGGTCATGCTCGGTAGTTTTTGCGCATTCACAGTTTGCACGAGGAAGGGCGGCTGTCTACAACCCAGCTTTGAGATCCTCCAACAGCAACGGTCGCCGCACGCACGGGCCAAAGCGGGACGTGAACTCGATCGTGGCCACGTTGGAGCCCGCGCTGACGCATAACTGTGTGCCTTGCGAGTATGTGATTGTCAACTTGCCGGCACCGCCGAGACCCTGCGTCACAGTGCGTCAAGGGAATGTCCTAGTTGTGACACCTAGTACCTGCAGCACATTGGTGAGCTGCGGCGCCGTGGCTGAGCTCGATATCGGAGCCGAAAGCTGTCCGTTGAACTTGAGCTGGAACGAGCCGACACCGGTGCAGCGCAAGAGCTGCTTCTCGTTGACCTGACCGGTCGTCATCGGGTCGTCACCGGGCGGGCATAACTCTGAATTGAATTATGAAAACAGACTTAACCAGAATGAGATAACCGTACGAAGCGAGCAGTCGGGGCCGCCGGTGCCAGCGTCGCACACGCAGCCGTGAATCGACGTCGCGTCCCAGACGCCCGTGTAGGTGAAGGCAAAGGGGCTCATGGCTGCGGCCAACGCTTCCATAGAGAGGCACTGACCGCTCAACGAGCAAGAGGAAAAGCATGCGACTAAATACACAACACAGACTCATCGAGAGGATCATCGGACAGAGACCAACGATGGGCGCAATTCGTGCCGGTGAAGCCCGCGTCGCAGTTGCAAAGCCCGGTCGTCCGGTCGCACACGCCTCGGTTGGCGCACTCGACCAAGCCGTGGATCGCGTCGACACCAGTCGCGTCGCCAGCCCACGCTCGACCGATTGGACAGCGCACTAGAAAGGTATGACGACTGCTCAAAAACGATGGCATCGTACTTTGCGAGCAGTCGAAGCCAAAGCTGCTGCTGTCGCAGACGCACTCGCCGAGGACGTTGCAGTCTCCGTGGCCGTTGCAGATACGTCCACTGAGTGGTGCGATGGGACATGCACCATGAATGCGCGGCAGCAAAAGTAGCAGCGTCGCCACAAGGGCCTGCCGTCGGACACCAGCGCCGTGTTGGGGCGGTTGCATCGACCAACACGTTAAATGCGTTAAAAACGATAAATGCGTTAAATGCCGATTCCGAGTTGCTGGTGATGCTACCTTGCAAACCACAAAAGAGCTGGATGGTCAAAATCGTGTTTATGACACGGGAATGCGTGGGCTGTAGCCCACACCTGAGGTACGCGTGCGGTCGGTATGCGATTGTCTTGAGGCGTGCCTGGGTGTCGACGACGGCGTTTAACCGAAACCGTCGTTGCACGCACCATTTAACGCGTGTGTTTAACGTGCGTGTCACCACCATCGGCGCAAGATCGCGCTTCAAACGACGTTTCGAGTCGGATCGCCGAGCATCAATCAATGCGCTTCGTAAACCTCCTTGTTGCGCTCAGCCTCAGCGCCTGGGACGCTGCCGATGGCACCTGCGCCAACATGTGCTCGGGGCATGGCACGTGCGGCGCGGCCAAGTACTCGACCAGCAGATATACGTGTGGACTCATGTTTGTTTTGCTAGCAAATGCACGTGCTTTGCCAATTTTATGGGCGCCGACTGCTCGCGCCGCGCCTGCCCAAAGGGCATCGCGTGGTCCGACAAGGCGTTGGCGGCCAACACGGCCCACTCGATGATGGAGTGCTCGAACCGAGGGACGTGCGACTACATCAAAGGAGTGTGCACATGCGCTGATGGATTCGCCGGGGACGCGTGCCAGCGAAGTACGCCATTCGATTCGTAGTCGATGCTTGCAAGCTGCGTAGGTGTGTGCTTAAACTCGTGCTCGGGCCACGGCATGTGCCAATCGACGGCCATGATGGCGCTCGCGCACGGCCGAGACACTGGCACCGGGTCCGGTCCAGCGTACACCAACTGGGAAGCCAACTCGATGATGGCGTGCTTTTGCGACTACGGTTACCAAGGCCCCGACTGCTCTCTGCGTACGTGCGTCGTACTGAGCGCCGCGTGATTGACATCTGATTAGGCATGTGCCCCAAGAACGACGATCCGCTCACGACAGGCCAGACGTACCGGAGCGTGGTGTTGACCGTCGCCGGTGCCGGGTCGGCGCTTGCGGGCACCGTGACGTTTACGTTCAACGGGCGCTCGGTGACGATGCCGGCGAATGGCAACGCCAACTCGAATGCGATTTGTGCGGCGGCGATCAGCAGTCTTAGCACTGTTGGGAGTGCGACGTGCGTGCAAGGCGCTATCGACGGCACGACGGGCGGTACGGTTGGTTGCAACACCCTTAGGCCACATCCTCTCGTGGGGTAGGTGCGTCGTATACGATTACGTTCACGTCGTGGCCATTGACGCCGGTGGAGAACAATGTGTTTACGCACGACGGGAACCCGGCGCTGAGTCAATTCAGTTGCAACGTGCTCGGTGTCACGAGCAGCAACACGCCGTCGTGCAGCCTTGTCGACGGCAACACGGCCAACCTCGTCGGTCCGACGACTCGTTGTTTCTTGTTCCCGATTGAGCTTGCCATTAGAGTACGCGTTTTGCTCGAACCGCGGCATTTGCGACTTTGCCACTGGTCTCTGCACGTGCTTTATGGACTACAAGGCGATCGACTGCAACCAGCCGAGCAACATCCCCGACAATCTGGACCAGCGCGACGGGTTCCTCATCGAGCCAACGGGGACGACGTTCCAAGGCACAGCACTGCGCATCCACACGATCAAGGGCAGTGCGACGGACTTTCAAATGGTGCAGATCGAAGCTAGCGCGGTTACGCTCTTCTATATGGACGGCGCGGGCCACACGTACTGGAACACCGGCAACGTCCGCATCCAGTCGGGTACTTTGTTTGTTCAATCGGGCGCGACGATCCAGACGGGCGGTCTCCAAGTCGTCGACGGCGGCGCGACGGTGTCGGCCTCGGCTCAAAATGCAGCCGTCCTCGGTCTCGTCGCTGGACACGCCTCGTATACGAGCAACGTACTCCTGCTCCAAGCCACTCGCGCGGGCTCTAGTGCGTTCAACTTGATTGCTGCGTACACGTCGGGACTGTCGACAGCGGTGTTTGATGTGCGTGGCGACGGCCGGACGACGGTACGTCGCGGTGGTTTCGAGGTGCTCTCGGGGGGCGCCACGATCACCGACACGACGACGGCGACGACGACGACAACGGTTCAAAGTACCAACGCCGCGTTCACGGGCACGGTGCTGTCCGTCTTGGCGGCAACGGCATCGGCCTACCCCGCGACAGACTATTTTTTACTCAAATGCACGGCTAGTAGTACGGTCGCGTTTGCTGTCGAGTCGTCTGGGCGCACGACCATCAGCAACGGCGGTGCCAGTGTGACCAACCAAGATCCGACGGCGGCCGCGTTGACAGTGACCTCCACCGACAACGCGTTCGGTGGCACCGTGGCGACGATTCAAACAAGCCGTGCCGCCAACACAGGCTTCTACCTACTCGAAGCCAAAGCCAACAACATTCAGCTTTTTTCCGTCCACGGCTCTGGCCTCACCAAGGTGTGGGTCGGAGGCTTCGAGGTTGTCATGGGTGGCGCCACGATTTCCAACGGCGGTCTTCTCGTCGACGCGGGTGGTGCTGTCATCAAAGCGGGTCTTCAAGTCGCGACCGGAGGAGCTACGATTTCTACCACGGGCCTCGTTGTCGAAGACGGTGGTACGTCGATCACGCAAAAGGCCACTTCGGTCCATGCGGCAGCCGTGTACGCCACCGATGCGGCTTTTACAAAAGCCTTGTTGTATCTCGCAACGACAGCTGCTACGGCTCCTCCCTCCTTCTACATCCTCCAGGCCGAGGTGATAGTGGGGACACCGATATTTGACATCCAGGGAACTGGCGACACGACGCTGCACCAAGGCAACCTCGTCGTGTCGACAGGGACCGCCTCCATTGCTGGCGCGGTGACGGCATCGAGCACGCTGCACGTCGTCGGGGCGACGGCCCTCGATTCTACTCTTGCCGTGACTGGCGCGGTGACGGCATCGAGC